TCAAAAGTTCTTACTTTTCTTCAAAATCAACTTCAAAAGTTTCAGCAACATTTCCTACTATTGGTGATGGCGGGTCATCAGCATTTCTGATAGGGCTAACATTGTCGCCCAGTACAGATAGAATTTTGTTAAACTTTTCCTCGATTGGAGGCAACGCTGGTCCACCACCAGTCTTACGGGCATGGAGCCCTCTCCTGTCATGCTCCTCTTTTCCGGCCATCTTTAATCTTTTCCATAATCCTATAAAATAAAGATATGTTATAAATTGAAAAATTCCATGCTCATTTTTATTTCAGCTGCAATACATATTATAGTTGCACCGTTTTGGTTGGGTATTAAATAAAAAAGGAAGCTGTATATAAGGCCTCTGATCTTCTAATGGAAAGTACATATAAATAGACGTTGTTTAGCCCAAATTGAAACCAAAAAAAACACATACCTATTATGTAGCTGACAAGGAGAGTATGGCGACATTTTCCAATCTAAAATGAAAACTAACACTAAAAAGGAGTCACTAAGATGGAAGTTCGTTTCTTTTATTTTCATATTAGATCAACGACGACCACAGACAAACAAAATTCACATGGACGGCACTTCAAATGGAGAGAGTGGTAGTTCGGAGTAACAGAGAGTTTCTGGATTTTTATCTCCGACCAAATAAAATCCCGGAGTTGATGATGAGAATCAGATCTTAGCCAGAAAAAAACATCAGAGAGGGGTTGTGGGTACTGAACTTCACCGACGATAAAACTCATGATTTCTAGCTCTAAACTATGACGGCATCTGGTCAGCGGATACGTTCAAGAGATCCAACATGGTGATGGCAGCCTATTTTCTTTATTGTCATAAATCCAAGATCATCATATTAAAAAGGAGATGCACGATCAGAAATTTAAATTTACTTCGTAGACATTAAATAAAAAAAACACGGCAGATTGACTTGCCAACATGGCGGTAGGCGTGACGCCATGCCAAAAAATGTTCTCTTCCTCTAGAAGAAGAGGAGGGGGAAAAAAAACGTCCTGCCAGGGAGCAGTGTGACGTTGGGGTGATGAAAGATTCGAATGCCTCGAGCGTCTCTCGCGCTCTGGCTTTTATAGCAAAAAGGAAAAAAATCCGAGTTTAGTACTTAAGGTACTGAAAGTATGAGTTAAAGAACTAAAATTTTTAGTTGAGATGTATTATCAATATTATTTTTAAGTGTTATTCTCACTTTCTGATTGACGTTGCAAAGCTAAGTTTCAGCCGACTTCAAATTCTCGTGCAACATCAAACGACGCCGACAGCTTTTTCCGAGAAAAGGAGTGTCTGAGGAATGTGTAAGGAACTTTCAGGGGAAAATTTCCTCATTGCGCTAACGCGTTAAGGGGCGAGAAGAAAAGGATGAAGAAATAAAAAATTGTATCATAAAATTATAAATTAAACCGAAAAAAATAAGGATTTTGATTAAAAAAACAGGATATTTAAAAAATTAGGCTGTGACTTAATGTCACAATAGTACTTTAACAACTTAAGAAAAAGTTTCAAAAATTTGTCCAAAAAATATAGACCTTATACTACTTAAAAAGTTATCATTCAACATTTTAACATCAATAGTTAGTATTTACAACAATTAATAGTTAGTATAAAATTAGATGGAAACGAGCCTTCTCCTTAGGTCTTATATTCTTTACGAAAAACTCAAGCAGCACCTTTGATCCTGTATTTAACTTTGAAAAATAGAGCTTTCCCTTGTGCAGATTTCTGTGTGTATATTTTTAAAATTACATAGATATTCAAGTATAAAAAAAATAACCAGATATTGTAACTAAACTCGAAAGTAAAATTAGTGCCAAGTTTTATTGTCAGATTTAATTGATATATAATAATGTATGCATGTACATTAAAGAGATTAAATATGTAGTCATTGAGATTTATCAAAGGCTTTTAATACAGTGGATGAAATTTTTTTTTTCTTTATGAACTCTTAAATGAGACATGATCTTGTAAGTATTGCAGAAAAGTAGAAACAGAATTTTTGTATCAATTTCTTGTACATACATTTTATATAAATTAAGGTATGATTTAATAAATTGAGCAAAAATAACAAGTTATGCATGTAATATATTAATATGTGTGTCTATATATGGAGAATACCCATAAAAAAATTCCTAATTTAAAAATCAAACTAAAATTATTACTAAATAAGGTATTACTATGGTTAGTAATATTTCTTAATAAAGTATCTATTTAGTGAAAGGAATACTTTTTTAATTATAATAAAGGTTTCCTTTTCAGTATCAATTTAGAAATAGTATAAATCTTTTTATTTTGTTATTTTATAAAAAAGAATTGGCTACATGATCCAGTAAGACAGCAATAATCTTTATTAATCTATATTTTCTTATTTTTTCTGTCCTACAAAAATGTGTACTTAAATATTAACTAATCTTTTTCACTTCTGATAAAGTATTTATTGTCAAATACCAGCAATAAGTTGTGTATACAGTATGCTAATGTGAAATTAGTTAATGAAAAATTTATTGTAAACAAAATATTACATTAAACTCTATTAATAACAAATAAAAGATAATTGTAACTTTGAACAGTTTACCGTGTTTTGTGATCATTCATTAGAATTTCAAATGATGCAATCAGATTGTGTATAAACTTTGCGCGACATCGTTCTACATTTATATGAATTATAAGCTATCTTAAAATTATCTGCGTATTCAAATAATATCAAGTAATAATTAAGTTAAAAATAAAATGAAATGAATTACCTTGAAGATTTCCAATGGTTTTTTCTCCTCCATTAATTCCAATAAATTGCTCATGGATCTTAATCCAAGCCTTCCTTTTTTGCATATTTGCGAAATTGTCCGAGTCTTTGGCTTCAATTTCGGGATGTTGAGTGCAAATTTCTATGAGTGAATTCTTTTCAAACTCAGAAAAATTTGATGTTCTTTTAAGTGCTTTTTTTTCTTTCATAGTTTCCATTTTGTCAGAAATACAAGTGCAAAGAAGATAAATACAAAAGAAAATACAAGTGCGAAAACTACTTGCAACAAAACGGGAAAATGTAATGACGTAACTCTTAATTCCTCGACTCTGCCCGTTGATTGGATAAAAATATCACGTGGGGCGAAGTTTCAGTGCATTACATGCGATAAGCCAAGTTCAGTTAAACCGCAGCAAAACTACGCTTGAGCAATGAAGCCTAGCTTTTCGCTTAGACCAGGTTTACGTAAACCGCGAAACCGAGGTTTAAACTCCCTAGTTTAGACTGCGTTCTGACAATTCAGCCTTTGGTTTAACTCCTTCCATTTGCTGAGTTATTATATTTTGACGTCATAAGCAAACTCCGCCCCACTTTGAGTCACATAGAGTTTGTTTCGTTTTGGACTAATTTTAAGTTAAAATTTTTTAAAATTCGGGTCAGTTTTTTAAATTCTGAATTGATTTTGGAGAGTTTTAAGATATTTAAAATAATCAACATATTGCGATTACCCAACGCATGCATGTTCCTCATTGACTTATAAAAAAAAGACAATAAATCTATTCAAATTCAACCCCACTTCCCTCCCAGTAGTAGCTAAAATAATTTTTAAATTTCTTATTTTTTAATTTGGATAATACAATCCTGACGCATGTTGTCTAAATTTTAATCTAATGTTTGAAATAATATAAATAAGTTCGTAAACTTTTTACTTTACACACAAAAAATGTCTGATTATGCTTAAGAAATTCTTCCTAAACTGACAATACTTATTTTAATTTAAAACTGATTACAAATTTAAGTAAATTTGCCTTTTCGGAATGAAAAGCGATGCTTCATTTTAGTTCAAAAAAATTACTAAGACTGAAAAAGATTAAAATTCTTTATGTTTTTAATTGAAATAAGTAAAAGTAAATGAATTAATAAAAAAAATTAGTATTTTAATGTTATAAACAATATATTTATATACACAAAATTCGATAGTATTGAACAAACAACTATGAACCCCTTCCCTCCCTCGTGAACTCCCTTCATGAGGCAAAAGCTAAGTTGGAAAATAATTCATTGAAATTTGGGCCACAGCTAATCATTACAACTGAATATTTTTATTCCAAAACAAGCTTTTATCAAAATTTGTTATTCTAAAATTGAATATTTAATGATTTATTTTTGATAAAGGCAGTTATCAGCTATTAACTGAAATTTCCATATAGATTTAAACTTATGAAAGTTAAATATCTTGAGTCGTTTTTTAACTTCTCATTCAGCAAGCTGCACTCTTCGTAACTTTCTATCATATTAAAAGAGAAGCATGACTCTTCTTTTGAAACTTCTCTTTTTTTCAATCATTTCTCTGTTGTAATCCACTCGTGATTTTATTAACTTCAAAATGTTAAAAACTGCTTTTAACTGCTTCTGGAATAACAGCATAAAATTTTTATATTGCGTTTTTTAATTTATCTACAATAAGAATATAATTTAAAAAATTACAAACTCAAACCTTGTAGTTTGATGTAGTTGTTGCAACGCTTCTCTCCTAGCGAAAAATTTTTTAGTTGAACTCCCTCTTCTTCACGGAGCTCTTCATCTAGGAGTTCTGCGTCGAAGTGCTCTTCTTCGAAAGGATCCTCTTCGAGTACCATCTCCTGATGACTGGTACTTTTTTTGTGTTGGCTGTCATCAGAGTGGTCAGCATTTTCGAGGTAGTAGTGCTGTCCAGAATAGCTCTTAATTTCAGGACATTTATAGGAGAGTAGGGATTGAATTGGCGACCTAACTTTTTCAATAAATTGTCTCCTAGATGTGTTCTCTACGGTACTTTCTGGAGAAAACATTAGAGTCTTGGCCTGTGTTGCAATTGCGCGGTGCAGATGTCAAACTCACCCGCCTACGTATAGGACATACTCGGCTGACTCATCTTCATTTCCTGGTCGGAGAATCGCCTCCTCTATGTAACGTTTGCTTTCAATTCATATTTTAATCGCTTACCGATGTTTTTTTAACCATCAACGCCTTACCTTTT